TTGAGGAGGAACGTGAGGATTTGTTTATAACTTCCTTGATTTCTCCTTCAATAGCAAAACTTTCTCCAGCCTGGAAGGAGTAGTGGAGCTAGCATCACAAGAGTGAGCTTGGAGATTGAAGCAAGCCAAGAGAACACTACTCCAACTGTCAGAAAGGTATACCATCCTCAAACCTTTACAATTTTTGTTCATAGCAAGCCCCTAGGTCTGGATGATAGAGAATTCGAGCTAGGATTTTTGTGCTTAGAGGATGTCGTTAGGTTAGGGAGCCTTTTCATGGTTTACCCTCACAAATCTGATTGTTTTTTTCCCTAAACCTGTGCACATTGTCCTAATCGATCGAAACCTAGCAACTTTGTGATTATTCAATAGCTTCATTCCTCGATGAATGGTTTGAAGCCACCCCGATCTAGAGAACGAGAAAATTCTTTTAATTCTCATTCGCTAGACTGTGAAGGCTATGCCCATGAGGGAAATCTTCATTTTCATGAAGATTTCTTTTCTATGGAAAAGTCCCTTCACATTTTGCTGAATAATTAGAGGTAGACCCTCAATTACATTGTGTAACAAATGATACAAATGACTTCACCACCACCCTAAACCCATGTGAAATTGCTAGGAATGTTTTGACTCACCATCCAAATGTAATTGGGTGTATTTGCATGTTGCGTAATCATTTACTCAAAATTTTAATTTAAAAATGATTAATTTTGCATGCTTTTTTGCTATGTTTCCAACTTTAGATCAGCTTGATAGGTCACCCAGTGTCGTTCAATTTGATCGGTTTTCCTTATTGGGCGCCTTGATTGGTCGATTGATATAGGTTGGCTTGGCCGCCTACTTTAGGCTAATTCAACTGGTCGCTTGCTATTGCTCAATTTGATCAATTGTCACTCACTGGATGCATTGATTGGTCTGACCACTTATTTTAGGTCGGTTCAATTGGTCACCCAGTATCGTTCGACCATATCAACTATCCCTTATTAGACGCACTGATCAACCACCCATTTTAGGCCAGTTTGACCGACAATTTGGTGTCTTTTGGTTTGATTGGCTTTCCTCATTAGGCAACTCAATTGGTCGACAGCTTTAGGCTGGTTCAACCAACCGCTCGGTATCCATAGGTTCGATCGGTCATCCTTCATTAGATTATTTGATTGGTTGATCAATATTAGACAGCTCGGTTGCATACCTTTTAGTTGACCCATATTGATTGCTTTCGCATGTTTCATTTGATATGTTCATTGTATACACTTGCTCATCTTCTACATATGATTTTCACATTTGGTATAATCATATCAAGCTTGCAAGCTTTGTGTAATGATATATGGGCTTGAGCATTATTTATTACACTAAATATGTTCGCTTGAGCAACTGTAGCGTGCTAAACTGACCATTAGGGTACAATTTGGATGTTCACGCCTGTTAGAACACCTATATTGTATCCAATCACTTAGTGTACCACACATGTTTTCTTGAGCGACCATTGCATGCTATCTCATGACTGCATCTTGTATGCGCATCACGTAGTTCGTTTGGATGGCAAGTTGATTCAATAAATGAGTGGCCCATTTATTAGTCATAATACCTTAAAGAGCATTACTCACTAGGAGAACTCAACGTGAAAAGTGAGTTTTCATATTATGATCAACTTGTGTATGATTGTGCTAAGGCTCCAATGACTCTAAAGAACACCACTTGCATGTTACAGATTCACTTTTAATGGTCCTATATTTTAAAGTATAAAATAAATATTTTTCTATTATGTATTATCCCCCTAGTTTTAAAATTATATAAGTTATGTCATATGTAATGCCACTTATTTAAAATGTCACCCCCTTTAACAACATATTTTAGATCTGTTTGATCTTTAGGAAAGAGTCAGTGTCGACAAATCAATCAAAGTCACACACCTAAACTTTACCCTGCACTATGCGCACACTTAGATGTTGTGACTAGGAAACTATGTGGTAGATGGTGTGCTAGGCTAGGACTAGGGTGCTTAGGTAGCTTTTTTGAACTTTCTCCATTATTTCTTATTGTATGGTGCCCTAGTTAGACAACTTTTTTTGTGCTACCTTTGTGTGCTTAATGGGTGTAAGACTTGTGCACTAGTATATTAAGGGCAGTCTTCTTGCAAGAAGTCATATCCAACAGGGATGAGCTTAATGATTTAAAGCTAACTTTTTTGCTTGAAGGTGCTGCTTAACTCTCCTCCCACCAGAAATGGTTCAATATACATTGCATGTAAATAACTCGTGCTAACATCTTTATTGTTAGTTGAATCCTTTTTAGACTTTTACATGTAATTATAGAGTCCTTAGGGGAGCTTGTACTACAAATAATGTATAGGCATGAGTTTGGAAGTGTTTGATGTAAGAATCATGTGGCAGGGACCAGATGCAGTTAAATCATGTACTGCACCTTAATTCTTGATTTCAATTTTATGTATAACATTTAGAATTAGGTATGCATATGTGGAGATGACCCACCTTTTTGCTTTTCTGGGATATGTTGCTGACCCAACAACACTGGACCTCTTTATTTATTTATGTTTGGCTTGTTTTACTTTGTACAGTGGGCCTGCTATTTCCACTTTCTTTGATTGTAGTTTGTTAGGAATCCTGTGATTTATAATTTTGGTTCTTTAAGAAACCTAAAATAATATTTTTAAATAAAAGTCCTAATAAAATATTAAGCTTAATCAAAATTTTAAGATTAAAATATTCAATTATTTAAAAACCTACATTACTATTCTGTCTGACCCTCAACCCAGTTTAAAAAACGGTTTGTATGACATCGGTATCACCAAAGTTATATTAATAGGGCCTCCATGCTTAGGACTTCTGATAATTGCATCATTTTGCATGCCATGAGGAGAAGCCCCTGTGCTTCTTCAACCTGATTGACCTAACATAAATTTTTACTTAGGTGGTTGTCTAGCACGCACAGGGTGTTAGAGGCCTCCCTGACCCAGACAGGGTATAAGTTCTTCGTGGTAGTGTTTTTAGTTTTATAGCTGGACCTCTTTTTTCTCTTCTTTCCTATGACACTTTTTCCATTTATTTGAAAAGTAGTAGTTCCACCTTTATAGGGTCATAAAACTTAAGAGTTTTCTTTGTTGGACCTTAGGGTTACCGAAATTTTCTTGAATGATGCAATTCACAGATTGCTGACAATGAGTCTTTGATTGTGTTGATTTGACTAACTTTACAACCAAGTAGAATTATGGTTCTAATAGTTTGGGATGATAGATCCATGGTATTCTAACTCAGCTATTTCTACCCGATCAAGATTACTCAGCCTCTCCTTTGTTAAGCACTTTTGAGTTCATTCATTCTTTGTGACTTTGTCAATGTCATCTTGATAGCCCTGATTACTTATAAGTGTCGGCCATTTGGGATATAATAATTCACCCTCTACCCATATGACATGACAAACTTTTGTAGTATAGGGATATTCTTGTTAAGATGATTTGATTATTTTTTAGGTCTCGTATGCTGATGAGTCGCTACCAATTTGGGATGTGAGAGACTCACTCTCTGCCCTATGGCTTAGAGAGAGCTTTGAAATTATCATGATGCTCCTAATAGAAATAACCATCCTTTTGGTGACCTATTTACTAGTCATAACGATAATGTAAGTAAAATCCCATTTATTGAGAGTATTCTCGGGTATCCCCAAAGTTGTAGTTAATCATAATGATATGCTCCTTTGGAAGTGTTGTTGACCCCAATACATGGCATAGAAAATAATGAGAAGGGGATGATGCACAAAATAATCAAAACTAAAAAGATAATAAACACTTTAGGGTAGACCCTCAGCATACCTCCTCATCGACACTTTTCTAACAAAAAAGTTTATTAACTTTTTCTCTTTATGTCTTATTTTGACTTCATTATTGCATAAATTTTGTCATCCTCATTTTCTTAATAATAAATTTTTGCACCTTTAATTTCCGAAGTTATCCCAACCTTCATAATGTAAAAGAGAGCGAATATATACATGAAGTCGTTCATGGGACCTCCCTGAGAGTTTAGACACATGAACTACTTATAAATTTTTAAAAGGGTGTATTACATTTATTTCAATATGAAATTAAATCACTTAATTAAACAATTTGTGTTGATAATTCTTGATTAATATTTTTTGAGATATCTTAGTACCTTAATTAGTTTGAATTGAATAATATTGAGTTTATCGTATTTATTTGTTTTTTTGTAGCACAATACATAAAATTTAAAAAGTCATTTGATATATCAAATTATGAAAAAGTCACTAACTACACTCTCAAGTTGATTTGCTGAATTTTTTTTTTATGTTGAGTTAGATAGTTATTTCTTGCTTAGGGCTTGTTTAAGATCACACTTATTTTTTAGTTTATTTTTTGTTTTTACTTTTATCTTAAAAATATATTTAGTTAGTGCATTTTTTGAATATTTTTTATTAAAAAAAAATTAGCTTACTTTTAAAAATATTTAAAACATCTAAAAACTTTTTTGAGTGTTCTTGAAATTAAATAAATATGTTATAACAAATCAAATATATTTTTTTTTCTAGTAAAAAAAAATTGCCAAATGACCTCTTAGTATTTTTTCCCCTAATTTTATATTGTAGATAAAAATCAATAATTTCAAAATTAAAAATTTACCACTTGACTCATGTCTTAATGAGATAGGATTTGAAATTTCACATCCTCAAATTATAAATTTTAATTTTAATATTTATCCACATTCGAATAATACCAATATATAAATAACTAAGTTCTTACTAAAAAATAGAAATCTATATACTAACTAAAATGTGCACTTATTTCTCACATATATACATATTAAACACTTAAAATTTCATAAAAATATTACTATTATTAGTATTTTAAAATTGAAATAAGTATATATATATATAATTAACTTGTTATAATTATAAATATAAAAAATAAAATTTTAGATATATGAATACATAAGAATTGTGTGGTGACTCTATAAATCTCCCTAAGCAAATGTTTTCCACCCGCAAGCAAGCGGTAAACCAACAACCCTAGGACCGAAAAAGGAGACTCCAACCACACGGCTTGAGCGCAAGAGCTGAAAGCTGATAATAATAAGCTGGGAAAACCCTATTCTTGTTAAGGGGATCCATGGGGAAGAAGAAGAAGAGACCCTCGAAGGTTTGGTGCTACTACTGTGACCGCGAGTTCGATGACGAGAAGATACTTGTCCAGCACCAAAAGGCCAAACACTTCAAATGCCATGTCTGCCACAAGAAGCTCTCAACCGCCGGCGGCATGGCCATACATGTCCTACAGGTTCACAAAGAAAGCGTCACCAAGTATAGATCAAACTGTTTGAAACTTTATTTCTGGCCAATTTTCGTTGCCTTCCCTGTCCTCTCATTTACGCGTATAATTTCTTAACAGCAGTTGAAGTCGCTCGCAATTTATTAAAATCTGTTTGCAGAGTTTTTATTTGCTTTTGTTTTGTTTTTTTAATGACTTTTTGATTCGTTTTGAGCTATTGATTAGTTCTGGTGATTGTTATTAAGATGTGTTATTGTGAATGAGCGGTCTGTGACGAGGCAGATTTATTCATTTCTTGATTTCAAGTCCTGTGCAATCTCCTCGCGTTAGTACGAAGAATTATTATTATTTTTGTTTCTTCTTAGCGGATTCAAAGATTGTATACATCACTTTGCGCGTTCGAGGACAACTTTTGCTTTATAAATCTGGAAGTTTGTCTTGAATGTGTTAATTCTGGAGAAATTATTGCATCCGGATGAGCTGCATTTGGATGTTTTTTTTTGGTAGTATTGGTGGTATTAAGGGGTAGTATTGGTGTTGCTGTAGTATAATAATACCACAATATCACCAATACTACTATGAATAACACCAGTCGTACTTCCGCTATTCGGATGCAATATTTTCTCAGAATTCTGAGAGCCTGTTCAGATGGAAAGATGTGCATTGTTCATTTTTTAGAACTAGCTTTCTAATGCTTAAAGGTATTTTTTGTTGAAATATATTGACTTTGAAGTTTCCTTGTATTCTCATGTTGGGAAATAATATATTTTTTTTAATTTTCTCTTTCTGATTTTCTTAGTCTGAAATGAGCAAGTGACTTCTGATTCTGTGCCTATAATTTTTTTTTTCAAATGGTTATAAAAAATTATGAACCTAGTTTAGGTAGTGGAAAGCGTAAATGTTTGTGCTATTATGTCTTCTCATTTGCAAAACCAAGAGCTTTCCTGCATAAATCGATCACCATTGCTATTTATTTATGTGAGAAGGCTAACCGGTTCTTATGGTATATGCTCTATCGGAAGGAAAAATCCTTATATGTTTGTGCTAATTCCTGGCAAAATTTCCGATATTCCTTATTTTCTCATCTCATTGTTGATGATTTTGTTGAAAAAGACTTTACTCTCCTTTGCAGCTCTTATTACTGAAATGTTTGAACACAAATATGTGAACATTGCTTTAGAACTAATTCCCTGCAAAAGAATTTGTCTAAGCTATAGTTCATGTATTTTTGTTTTATTTTGTGTATGAATTGTCATGGCTTGTACAATTAGAGAAAGACATTGATTTTATTATCTTGCTTTCTGTATTTTCTTATAAAGCATCAATTTTTTCATTAAAAATTTGTGCATTGTATTTTATTTCTGGCATTTTATTAAACTTCTATTTTAAATAAGGGCGTGTATGATCCGATAAGCCTGCATTAATTTTTTTTTTCTGGAGCTGTGCTAAATGGTTATGTTACGCCAGTCTTAGAAATTTTGTGTATCATTTGAAGTTAAAAAAAAAAAGAAAAAAAATTTACATCTTGCTAAAAGTAAGCTGCTAACACATTTATCATGTGGATGAATGTGTTAATTCATAAATTTGAACTATGTGCCACATTTCTAATGGACGCATTATCAGTGGCTTATTCATTTTTGGTTTTATTTTTATTGGCATTCACATACATAGTACACAATTCTTATGTATTTACATATTTAACACCTAAACATTCATATTTATATGCATACCACTAAAATATTTAACATAACATCAAAAATATCAGCGACACTACCTTTTTTAAGAGTAAAATATACATTTTTATGCCTAGTTTATGACACTAAGGTGTTATAATTGTAAATATTAAACTTTAGGTGTTGGATATGAAAATACACCAGAATTGTGTGGTATGTGAATAAATTTCCCTTATTTTTAATGTTGAATGCTTTATTTATGGCTTATTGTCTCTAATGTTAAATAGCTTATTTTCAGAGTTCCTAATGCTAAGGTTGGCAGAGAATCAACGGAAATTGAGATATTTGGCATGCAAGGAATACCTTCGGACATTTTAGCTGCGCACTATGGAGAAGGTAACATTCTTCTAGCATCTTTATTCTCTTTTATGAGGCACCAATCATAAATTGAGCCAGGATCTTAACCACAATTATATTTCTTTAGACTTATGATTTACTTTTTAACTTAAATATTGTGTTTGGGGTTCTTTTTGTTTTCCTATCCATCAACAATCAATATTTTTAGTGTAATTGCTTTTTTGTCATTTCAAGGTGATTATTTTGTTTATTTATTTTTTACTTTTGTGTTCTGTGTTCGAGGTAAATACTAAATGTACCCTCACATCGCACTGTTTTAGATTGGACTACTGGAGTAGAAGTGACTCCTGTTGTCTCTTTGATATTAACTCAATTCCTTTTCAAATGCAAAAATATCTGTTTATTTCATATATTTAACGTAGGTTTTAAATAATTTTTTATTAAAAGGCTACTTTTTTTTCCCTTGAATTTAACCTTAATTCTTAACAAAAATTTGACATTTTGATGATTCCAGAAAGCCTCGACTTTTTTTTTTGTCATTATTTTTAACAAAGGTAGTTTAAAGGATGAAACTGATGTTATATTTAGCTTGACGATTTGTTGGCACTTTGCAGGATACAGTAGATTTTAGCATTTACATAATATATTAATTGCCAACTATTTACTAACATATTTATTTTGTTGTTAAACTTTGTATAGTTTTTTCTAAGCACGATTAAATATTTTCTTTCATTAAGTAGCTTTGTGTTGTTTGGTAACATCACAGTTAATATATGCATTCCTTTATTGCATATTTTATCACATCTAGATTGAGTCTATCTTGGTTTTATGACTTTGTTAGTCCTGCGTGTTTACTTTATTCATATTTATTTTTTATTTGAAATGGATGTTGATGTTAATATGCTTATGAGGTTCACATATTTGTCCTGCTATTTTTTTTCTTTCTTTTTTTTTATCTCCTCTCTAATTTTTTTTTTAATGCTGGTTTATTTTTGACAATCCTTTCTGGCATGGCTATGTTTTAGCTGTTGCAGATTTTGTGAGGCATTGTTAGAAGTTGCCCATAATTTTTATTTTTGTGCGATAATTGAAAAAACTGTATCATGCAGAGGAAGATCCCTCATTGAAGGTGCCAAAAATTGAAGTTTCCTCTACAGGGCTCTTGACTGGTGTCGTGCCAAGAGCTGTAGGTGTTGGATTCCCTCCAACTTATGGTGTTGTACCACCAGTGTATGCCATCTTAAGCTTTTTTTTTATTCCGAACTATTTCGATTATCTATGCTTATATGATTTTATCTCTCCAGTTTTTTTTCATAATTACATATTTGCTTAAAAGGTCATTTTAATAACTAATTTCCTTAATGACAAAATCATTAGTGAAAGGGTGGTAGATTGCTCTATCTTCAGTTGCCTTTACCTTATTTATTTCTAGGGGCATTTACATACATACCACACAATTCTTATGAATTTACATATCTAACAGCTAAACATTTATATTTACATGCATACCATTCAAATCTTTAACATCACATCAACATTATCACCATCACTATCTTTTTAACATTGAAATACACCTTTTCATGCATAGGTGTATGACAAAAGAGTCTTGTAAATGTAAATATCAAACTTTGGCTGTTTGATATGTAAATAGATAGGAATTGTGTGGTAGGTTTTTAAATCTCTCTTATTTCTATTTTATATAACCTTTTACTTCTCTTGCATTTTATATCTTTATTTCATTTAGCAGTTATAATGCGGCAGCACTGCCGTTGCAGCCTCCAAGTTGGCCTGTGCAACCTCTGCTGCAAGCTTGGTTTCCACCAAACCCAGTGGCATTGGTAACCCCTCCGCCTTCAGGTCTGGCACAGCAGCCTCTGTTTCCCGTCCAGAATGTGTCGGCTCCTTTGACGACTCCTGCAACTGTGCTTCAACAATCCTTTCAAGTTGCGCCGCCTGGCCTTCCTTCACCAACACCAACACCAACACCATTACCCCAACCACTCTTCCCAATCAATAACATAAGTATCACTCCTACTCAAAATTTACCATACCTGCCAAATACATGCTCATTAGTTATTTTATCAAACTCTTTTATGATATTTTTAGGTGCGACTGATGTCAATTCCAGTTCTAGTATTGTTACAACAACTGGCTATAGTACATCAAGCAACCAAGGTTAGATATTTCTTTCCTGAAGTAGTCTTACTGTTTTCTTACTCATTTGGATCTCTTTATGCATTTCTTCCCTTTTTCTTTTTTTTTCTTCTTAAGTTTGCTGGCGGTGATATTTTTTTGTTTGTAGAATTTTTCATTGCGAACTATCATTGATGGGATGGCAGTTGGTTTTCTTACTTTTAATTGTTGATCACTTGTCTTAGTAGTTTAGTACCTAATAGACATATAGGTCTTTGTTATGCTTTGATGATAAAAAAGTGACTATATTCTTACTTTGTCATTATTAATCCGTGTAAAAGTGAAAAATGGATTTTTTTTAAATATTTTTAATGCATATAGGTGACTGTTCTATTCGTGAAACTTCAAACTGATGTTAGTCGTTGTGGGATAGATAACTAAGCTAGAAAGGCACCTATTGGAACATTTCCTACTATATTGTTTTACTTTTTATTGCTATTGAAACATCAGCAAAAATGAGTACTATCTATGCTAAATAAGAATTGATGAATCATATAAGAAAAGAACAAAGCAGTGTTTTTAACATTGCTGAACAATTTTCTTCTCAGCAAGTAATTGTGAGAAATGGATAATGAACAATGTTCATAAATGCACAAAATAAGGATTATTCTGAACTTCTTTTGTCTTGCATTGTTAATTCCTTTTCATGTTTTGGGATTTTTTAGGCATTTTGATTTATTGACATGGCTATATTTGTCCTTTGAATATCTCTCCTTTTTGATGTGTACGAGGGTTAGGATTTTGTTAGGGGTTATTAATGAAGAAATGAAGATAAAACCTTAAATTAGCTCAATCAACATTGAACGAAATTAACATAAACCAATTAAGTTGTTAATCCACTAATTAACTCCTAAAATTGCTTAATTAACTCATTAATAAATTAATGGAATTATAAAAATTACTTATATTCAACCAATTAATAAAATACTTAGTTAAACTAATAATCATCTAATTAAATTATTAATTATTTAAATGGAACCTAAATGAATTTAATTAACTCATAATTACTTAATATAAATCTACTTAATTAACTTAATAATCAAGAAATTAAACCCATAATAATTTAAATAAAAAATTAATTATTTAATTAAGTTAATAATTATAAAATTAAAACATTAAATTATTTAAACATATCATTAAATATATAAATAATTAAATAAAATATTAAACAACTTAATTAAAACACTAAATAATGAATTAATTAAATATTTAATTATATTAATTGAATTTTTGATTAATCCATAAAATTTTAATAAACTTATAAAAATTTTAAATTAACTAAAACTTCAATTTAACAAAACCATAACTTAATAGAATATTTAATTAGTTAATAAATTTCAATAATTCACCCAAAAAAAAATTATGGATTTTGAGACATTTACCTAGTTAGAGCCGGTGATATTTTTTGTGTGATAAGAAAGAGTCGGATGATTTTAATATAAAAGGTGAAATTTAGGTGACTTATATATAAATGCCTTAACTTAATAGAATAATTAATTAGTTAATAAATTTCAATAATTCACCAAAAAAATCATTAATATGCTATATATATATATATATATATATATAGCATATTTTTATTGATTTGTTTTTGATGAGTTTTTATACCTTGGATTTTGAGACATTTACCTAGTTAGAGCTGGTGATATTTTTTGTGTGATAAGAAAGAGTCGGATGATTTTAATATAAAAGGTGAAATTTATGCGACTTATATATAAATGCCAATTATGTTCAACTAATTTTTTAAAATGTATAGTTTTTTTTAAAAAAATAAAAAATACTCAACTAAACATGTTTTATAGTTTTTTGTTTCTAAAAACATATGAATCATAACAATATCAAATGTGTTTTTAGAAAACAGAAAATAGAAAACAAAACAGATTGAAAATAGAAACAAAAATATAAAATAGAAATTGATCCCAAATAGGGCTCTAGTTTGTCTTGTGGTTTTTAATTTCTTTTTAATGTTTTGTGATGCTTTAGACATTATTTTTCTTTTGGAATCTTTCCTTCTATATACAACTCGATATAAGCAATGTTATCAAAGCACAAAGCACAAAGCACAATGCTTTATTTTTTCTTCAGAGCATAAAACGCAGATCGAAGCTGCACGTTTATGAACCAAAATACTAATCTGTTGTATAAAACTATTAATATATAAATACATTCATTAATTATAAAATATAAAGTATTTATTATATGACTTGAAAGTTAATATAAAATAGAAAAGAATGTCGTACAATATTCTAACTTTTTTTCAAAGATCGAGGGAAAATCATTAAAAATGTAAAAAAATTTTCTAACAGTTTGTTGTATTAAATAAAAATCGAGAAATTGCATGACAAATCTTATGACTCAAAATAAATCTAAAATTTAAAGCATGATATACTAATAAAGTCTGAAGTTTCATTTAAAAAGTTAAAAAAGTAATTTTGTACTTTGAACATCATCTACGCAATGGAGAAAAAAGATTCATGTAGCCGACCCCACGTAGTGGGATTAAGGTTTTGTTGTTGTTGTTGTTGTTGTTGTAGTCTTCATCATCTTTTCCATTCACATAATTCATTTCTCCTTTAGCGCTCTGAAGTGCGCTTCGCTTGCAAATAGCACGTGAACAAAGCAAAGTTGATGTCACACATGCTTTTAAAAACATTGGATATAACTATGAATATATTTTCAATTATAATTTTTTTTTATGCCTTAGAAATCTGTGCTTTGCTTTTGAAATATTTCTTTTTATATACATTCTTGATATAACTATGAATATATCTTCTATTATTGACCAATGTTTGAAACCTATACATGTTGAGAGCACATAAAGTGAAACTTAAGAGGAGCACGTTTAATTTATATGTAATTTAGTTTTCAACGTCATAAATAATTTTATTTTTTTGAGATCAAAGCTTCCAATTCTTGAAGAATGCATGGTGTTTTCGTGTACAATTTTCCTTTCTATAAATGCTTACTACATTTTCCTTCAGGTGGTTTTCCTTTCTAGTTCAGGATCTATAAGTTGGACCATCGAGGCTCCTAAAAATCATTTTGTCACAACTATTAAAATAAAACTTTATAATTTCTTGCATGCACTAGTTAGACGTATTTACGTTTTTCACGAGTATTGATTGCTACCTAGGCGAGGCTTCTTATTCTAGCTTGAGGCTTCTTTTGTTCTTTTGGATGATTCTTTATCCTTGTTTTTTCTTGTTGTTTATTTAATAGTTGGTTTGGAGGCATGATTAAAATTTTATATACATAACTTTTTTTATAGGAAAATTTATGGCCATGTTTATAGCTGATTTATATTAAATCTAATGTGAAAACTTTAGTACCTTTAGAAAAAAAAACTCTTTGAAAAGTTTCAATACGAAATAATATATTTTGGTCCACAGGAGTGTTATTTGGCTACTCGTTTGTTGTACTTATGAAATTTATAGCTTTTACTAATGGATTATATGCTACATGACAAGTTTAAAGCAATTAGTATATAGCCAAATTCTTAACATTATTCATGATATTGAGGATTTTCATGGTTTTGCCTCTTTTTACTGATGATTCATCGAAGGAATTAGTAGCCTTGTCTTGGTACTAATTACTAATTATTTTAAAAGATAGAATTAAAATAGAAGAAATATATTGAACAAGCCTTTAGTAACATTAAAGAGAGACAAATGTATTGAATCATGATTTGTTCATAGGCTATGTTAGAACTTAATAACTCAAAGAAAAACGAGAAAGAAAAGATGAAAACGAAGAAGAAAGATTCACTATATTGGCTCAAGAATATATTATGTAGAAGAAAATTTTGAAACTTTTGGCTCTCCTTGTGATCCTTTTTTTATAGATATGGATTTAGAATCTTGAGTGCTAAAGGAAAAGTTACAGTATGAACTATACATATAATGAATATAGAAAAATATAAAAACAAAATATGTTTAGCCTTAACACAAACTCGGACTTGGAACAGTAGGGGTGCTGCTTGGTCTCATAGGAGTATACATCTGGTGTCATTGCAGATATAGGCTACTCCCTTGGTAGATATGCTCTAGTAAGTTTATTGATGGCATAGGGCAAGTTTTACTTGAGCTTAGTGATATTTTTCCCATTTAGTTGGCATGCAAGTCTAGCTAGTCTCTGGTGTTAGATACATTGAAGGTTAGGCGAGTCTCTCTCAGACCCCACTGGAGAGATTGCTAATGAATCATATTTGACGAGTTCCTCCTACATCCATCTTAGTGAATCCTTACTAGTCCTCGGTTGGCAAGTTGCAAGTATCTCGCGTAATACCCCATTTGGGCGAGTCTGCTTCTTTGTGTGTACATAATGCACATATACTAAGTTTATTTACTTGTAATAAATTTTTTGAGGTTTCATGTGATACATTTGGTGTTAGGATGGAAATTCAATTGTTATTTCAGTAGAGTTACATGACGCAAAATTGAAATACTCCATACTCTAATTATGGCAAGGATTTTTGTTTCATAGTTGTATAATAGTTTTGATACCATAAGCATTATTTGCTATTGAGCTAATTTTATATTTAGAACATTAGAATTTAAATATTAAACTCCCAAAGGAAATTAGTTCATAAACATGCCAAATGGGGACATAAGCATGCCAGATGGGTTAAATTCTACCTTTGGTCACAACATTAGTGTGGAACTGAAATAAACTCGTTGATACTTTAATATTGTAGTTGTCCTCTCTAAACAACATGCTAGTTATGGTGACCGGCTTTGACCACATTAAATATAATTATACCAATTGTTAAAGCTTATGTGAGATATGTTTTATTTGAATAGTACCTTAGGCATAATATGAATTTTATGATTAAAGATGCCTTTTTTTTAGGGCACTCTACTTTGCATCCCTTATTCATTTTGTGAGATTTCTTTCTCTTGGAATTTTATGCTGGGGGGCTATAAGGTCGAGACAATATGCTATTGGCCTAGTTTAAAATTTGACATTGCATGCATAAGGCCTCA